TGAGATGCATATAATCAGGTTAAGCTTTATAATAATAGGGTTCAATGGGAAATTTTGTTATGTGTGGATGTTGGAGATAGAAGTACTTTGGAAAACGAGAAAAATTACGAAAAGGCTGTAACATAGTGTATAGTGTAGTTGTTAAAAACCTGGCAGAATCACACTGCCTAATTTAGACTCCCAGTTCTTCCACTGAGTGATTGTGTGACCTTGAAAAAGTTACTTACCTTTCTAAGAGTCAGTTTTTTCATCTGATATTCAACTCAGAGAACTGTGTGGGAGAAAACAAGGTACTGCATATAAAATGCTTAGTATATACAATGTCTAGCCATAGTTACCATTTGTAATAATGATTACTGTTATTATTCCATTTTCACAGGTCATGTTATATATAGTGATGAATTTTCCTTTGCTGGCAGCCTTCCCCAAAACTTTCTAAATCAGTCCTTAGACTCCTGATTGTGTCCCCTGTCCAAAATACAAAAGTCAATTATGTAAATACTTAGCCATATGTATTTGGGAGAAGGTAAATGGAAACTGTTTACCCCCTCAAAAAAAATTATGACTTAAAGCAGTTGAAGATATGTGATTGTATTAGAAACTGTCCCTTGAACCTCAAATTGAGGTAAATATGGATGCAAGCAAATTTTTTTTTATATGTGACAGATTTTCTGCTTACAACTTCTGTGTTTCTCTGTGATAAAGAATGTGAACGAAGGTAGAAGGTGAAATTGTGGAGACTGTGAAGAGACTAGTAGATATTTGAGACAGAAAGGGATGAGTTATAAGGAGTCATTAGTCCTCTTCACTGTTGCTTCTAACCATTGTTCTCCCTCTTTTTTAAATCCTCCAGCTCTTTTTTTTTTTTTTTTTTTTTTTATCCTCACCCGAGGACATTGCTTCATTTTTTTGTTCAGATAGAGTGGGAGGGAGAGAGAGGAAGAGAGAGAGAGAGAGACAAACATCAACGTGAAAAGGACACATCAACTGGCTGCCACCCACACGACCCAACCAGGGCCAGGGACAAACTGCAACCGAGGTACATGCCCTTAGCGGGAACCGAACCCGGGCCTCTCAAGACCACAGGCCAACGCTCTAACTGCTGAACCAAACCGGCCAGGGCAAATCCTCCAGCTCGTTTAAAGCACATGCCATCTACCTATACCACTCGCCACTACCTCTCACTCCTTATTGCTGTCATCTGTAGATCCTCTATGTCATTCCTTGAAAGTTTTAGCACGTGACTCTTTTTGTCTCCTTACCACTATTCCAGCAATCATTCTTTGTCATTTAAATGTTTTTATAGACCATCCATCCAACCTGGTGACCAGTGATTTTCTTGAACTTCACTCATTCAGTGCCATTCAGCAATTACTCTTCAAAATCTCAGGTTCAGGCATCTCAATCTGATCTATACCTGCAGCCTTTCCATGTTACTATGCCTAGTACCTTGAATTCAGCAATTCTAAGACTGCACCACAATCCATTTATCTTATTATAATTTCTCTGTTCATCCCTCATATTCTCACTTCCAGTAAAATGGAGCTTACTCCATGGTCTGTCATTGTCATTTCCTTGCATATGCCTTCAAATGCTTTGCAGTCTGTCTCCACTCTGTTTTGCCTGTTTTTGCACTTTTGTTTCTGATTTTTTTAAATTAATATTGAGATTTATCCTTGTCATTACATATGTCAGTCATTCATTCCTTTTTATTGCCAAGTGATATTCTATTGTAAGGTTATACCATGATTTGTTTATCTGTTCTATTCATGGACGTTAGGGTGTTCTAATTTGGGGGTATTAATAAAGATGCTGGCTGAAAGATAGTTCAAGCTGAAGTGCTACAACAGGATAGAATCAGTAAGTAAGACAGTCTCTTTGTGGACATATTTCATTTCTCCTAAGTAAATACCTAAAAGAATTACTAGTTCTTAGGGTGTGTATGTTTGTCCAATAATAAAGCTGTCCAGGAGTTTTCCAAAGGAGCTGACCATTTTATATACACACTGGCAATGTACATGAGTTCTAGTCACATCATAACCTTCCACTCAGTATCTTTATAATTTTAGCCATATAGTAAGTATGAAATGATTTTAATTTGCAATTCCCTTGATTAGCCATTCCTATATGATTTTTGTGGAGTTTCTGTTCAACTATGTTGTCTTTTTTTTTTTTTTAATCCTAACCAAGGATATTTTTCTATTTATCCTCAGATAGAGTGGGAGGGAGGGAAAAAGAGAGAAAGGAAGAGAGAGAGAAATATTGACGTGAGAGGGACACATCGACTGATTGCCTCTCACACGACCCGGACCAGGGCTAAGGACGAACCGCAACCGAGGTACATGCCCTTGGCCGGAATCGAACCCACAACTCATTGGTCCGCGGGCTGACACTCTACCTCTGAGCCAAACCAGCCAGGGCTGTTGGCTATTTTTTATTGAGTCATTCTTTTTGAGTTGTAAGATTTTCTGTATGTATGTAGATGCAAAGATAGATGCTCCCCTATGTTCACTGCAGTATTATTCATGTTGGCCCAGACATGGAAACAAATGAAGTGTCGTTCGATAGAGGATGTGGCACATGTACACAATGGAATACTACTCAGCCATAAAAGGTTAAAATACTACCATTTGCAACAACGTGGATGGATATTCAGAATATCATGCTAAGTGAAATAAGTCAGACATAAGAAGTCAAGAACCATATGATTTGACTCATGTAGGATATAAAACTGAAAGCAACAAATAAGAAAACAAACAAAAACTTATTGACACAGACAACAGTATGGTAGTTACCAGAGGAAAGCGGTGTGTGAAGTTGGTATCTCACTGTGGTTTTGATTTGCATTTTCCTGATGATTAGTGATGTTGAGCACACTTTCATGTTGCTTGTTGGTATTTGTGTATCTTCTTTGGAGTAATATCTATTTAAGTCCTTTGCCTATTGTTTAATTGGGTTACTTTTGTTGTTGAATCAGAGTACTTTATATATTCTTGATATCAATTGCTTATCAGATGATATGTTTGAAAATATTTTCTTCCATTCCCTGGGTTGTTTTTCACTTTTGATAGTGTTCTTTGTGCATAAAACCTCTTACTTTTGATGAAATCCAATTTATTTTTTTGTTCATTGCCTATGTTTTTGGTGGCATATCCAAGAAATTACCCAAATCCAGTGAATCTGTTCTCAAATGTTTCTTCTAGCTCTTGCCTTTAAGTCTTTGATCCATTTTGAGTTCATTTTATATATGAATACCCAATTTTCTAACATTATTAGCTGAAAAAACTACCTTTTTCTCAGTGAATGGTTTTGGCACCCTTGTGGTAAATCATTTGACCTTGCAAGGGTTTATTTCTGGGCTCTCTACTCCATTAGTCTATGCATCTGTCTTTATGCCAGTACTACATTGCTTTGATTACCATAGATTTTAGGAAGTTTTTAAATCAGAAAGTATAAGACTTTTGTCATTGTTCATTTTCAAGAATGTTTTGATTATTTGGGGTCCCTTGAGATTACATATGAATTTTAGGATGGATTTTTCTGTTTCCAAGATTTTTTTAAAAAGTCAGTGGGATTTTGATAAGGATTGTCACTTTGGGTAGTATTGACAACTTAATATTAAGTCTGCCAATCCATTCACATAAGATGTCTTTCCATTTATTTGTGTATGTTCTTTAATTTCTTTCAGCAATGTTTTGTAGTTTTGGTGTACAAGTCTTTCATCTCTTTGGTTAAGTTTGTTCCTAAGTATTTTATTCTTTTTATGCTATTGTAATTGGAATTTTTTAAAATTTCCTTTCCAGATTGTTTGTTGTTAGTATACAGAAACAACTGGTTTTGTGTTGATTTTGTACCCTGCTGAATATGTTTAATTAGTTCTAACAGTGTTTTTGTGAAATCTTCCAGTACTATGTTGAATCAAGTGGTGAAAGTAGGCTTCCTTGTCTTGACATGGAGGGATTCTTGAAGGAGTTTGTTTGGGAAGGTAAAAATCTTCTCTCCCACCTATTGCACTACACTACTACCTCCTATTTACCACAGGGGTTAGACCACTTGAAAATCTATAGCCCTCCTGCCCAGAAGTATAGTTCCACAAATCTCAGTTATTTAGACTGGAATAGTAGCCCAACCAGTGGATATCTTTGGAAAGATAGTTACTAATGACCAATGACACTAAAAATCTTAAAAGATTAGTTCTTACCAACTACCCCCCCAACACCATGCATTCCAAAAAGAGATCACCTTGGAGGTTTCTCTACCAGGCTTGCTTTTTTATTTTTCTCATTATCTAGCAAATAATTATTAACACACATATATATTTTCCACAGACCAAATTAATTCTTTGAAACAGTTTAAACTACAGTTTAAACTGGGTAACATAAACTCAAGTGCCTAGGGGCAATCAGAAATAAATAAAATGGGAATGTTAAGAAAAGTAGGGAATGGTAAGAATTATAGACAGATGTTTATAGCCATAAGTGAATAAAAGTCCAGGGTTGCCAAGTCTTCTACATTTGCAAGAGAGGCTAGAAATCAAGATGTTTATGTAAATTGTCTGGAGTTTTAGCACAATTCAGACTTGACAGCCAATCTAAAAATTTTAGTCTAAAAGAAAAAGAGAAATATACAGTATTTTCTTGACTGCCCCATAATTTGTAAGACTTTTTTTCACCGATGAATTAGTTCTTCACATTACAGAAAATAAGGTAGCTCTTTTGAAAAGATTTTTTTTTTCTATAGGAGGGCTTGAGAGATGGGAAATTAGAAAGAGCCTTATTGCAGAGACTTCTCTTTGACCTGGATAAAGTTCTGAAATTACCACTTACAAAGATATTTAAATTTTTTGCCAAGGGCTTTTTTAAAATTTTAAATGTGTTGTTTCTAAGTAAGTAAAAAATTTTAATATATTATATAATGCATTGTTTGGCAACTATTTTCTGTGTTGAAATTTTTTAAACTTACTGTCTAATTCTGTTATTATCTTTATGTTTTATATATAGAGCTTTTGAAGAGAAATTAAAAGAACAAGAAGAAAAAGAACACCAAATTAGAGAACAAATACTTCAACAAAGAAAGCAGAAGTTTGAAGAAGTTACTGAAAAATTCCAGCGTGCCCATATTCCTCTTTCACAGCAGAGGAGAGCAGGTATTCCAATTTCTAGAACAATATGAAAATAAAAATGAAAGTTATAATTGCATTTGACTTGAACAGACAATAAAATAATGAAAAAACAAAGTAGAAATTCGAACTAAAAAGACTAGTAATAGGACTTTTTAAGTAATAGGACTTTAACCAAATGAAATAATACAATTTAGTTTAGGTTAATTTGAAGAGTATTTTATTGGCTGTGTTAGTAAATTTTGAATTTTCATAAGTTTGATTCTACATACTGGCTTACAATGTTTTGATCTTTTAAAAATTGATCTAATACATAGCTTAATAAAATGAAAATTTAACATTTAGGTTCAGCAAATTAGTGTCACATTTACTCTGGCATTTATTCACATTTTGCTTCAAATTCATATTTGAGAGACTGGAAAAATAAAGAGAAAGTGTAGAGTGATATAATTCAATAATCTAAGACCTGGAACCAATTAAGAATTTAAATATGATTGTAGTTGATTCTTTGGTATCCATCTACATTTTTTATACCTTAAATAGTAACACAGAATTAACAATAAAATGGCCAAGTTTCAGAAAGGAAAAGGACAGGCAGCACCTTTAAGTATTCAACAAACACATGTACTTTGTTGTACTTAGCTCTGGGCTAAGCGGAGATACAGTGAAATCTAATTGTACTCTACCACTAAAGATCTCACAGCTTATTTTGGAAATGAGAGTAATACAAACAATTAATGTCAATAAATATAGTGGTAATTGCTATGGTAGCAGAACATATAAAGTACTGTGACAACACAGAGAAATGAACACTATACAGGAACATCAAGTGTATCAACCCTGGGAAAATAACTTAATTTTAATCTTGAAAAAGGAGCATTTTGCCAGGCAAAGAGAGAAAAGATAACGTCCCAGACAGAGGAATAGTTTTTACAAATAAATTATGTATTTTGATATATCTGAAGCATAGGATGGGGGGAAAAAAGAAGAAAAATGGATTTGAGGCTAGAAAAAATAAGTTAGAACCAATTCTCAAAGAGCATTGTGTGCCATGCTAGGAATTTTATCTTTATCAACAATGCAATCAACTTAAAGTTTTTTAACTGACACATTATTGTGTCAGTAAGAGATAGTACTGTCAGTAAGAGAGATTAATGTCAATAAGGGCAGCTAATAATACTACTAAAAAAATAATAATTTAAACTATCATGGGCTTTATTTTACTCTTGCATAATATGAAATTCTGAGGTAGGCAGTCAAAAACTGTTTTGATGATTATGCAGTGCCACTGGTAACCCAGACTTCTTCTGTCCCTCAGCTCAGCCACCCTTCATATGTAGTTTATATATTTTTTTCACCCTCATGGTCACATGGTAACTGCTGGAGCTCCAGCCATCATGTCAATGTTATAGGCAAGGAAGAAAGAAAAAATGTAAAGAACAAAAGGCTGTACCTCTGAGCTATCTGTTGGTTTTTTTGTTTTAATTAATTTATTTTTGTTAGATATTTCTACTTTTCTCGCCAGACTCCCTCCTCCCTGTTCCGCCCCACACCCAAGCATTGTTGTCTGTGTCCACTGGTTATGCATACATGCATATAAATTCTTTGGTTTATCTAATCCCTTTCTCCCTCCCACCCCCCTCCTCTGAAGTTTGTCAGTCTGACCATATTCCTTTCTATGTCTCTGGATCTATTTTGTTCATCAACTTGTTTTGTTCATTACATTCCACAAATAAATGAGATCATGTGCATTGGTTTTCTTTGATTGGCTTATTTCACTTAACATAACACTCTCCAGGTCCCTTCATGTTGTCTCAAAGGATAAGAGATCTTTCTTTCTTACAGCTGCATAGTACTTCATTGTGTATATGTACCACCGCTTTTTTATCCACTCGTCTACTGATGGACACTTAGGCTATTTCCAGATCTTAGCTATTGTAAATAGTGCTGCATGAACATGGGGGTACATATATTCTTTCTGATTGGTGTTTCAGGCTTCTTAGGGTATATTCCTAGAATTGGGATCACTGGGTCAAATGGCAGTTCAATTTTTAACTTTCTGAGGTAACACCATAGTGTTTTCCATAGTGGCTGCACCAGTCTGCATTCCCACCACCAGTACACTAGAGTCCCCTTTTCTCCACACACTCGCCGACACTTCTTGTTTGATGATTTGTTGATGCGGCCATTCTGACAGTTGTGCGGTAATACCTCATTGTTGTTTTAATTTACATCTCTCTGCTGATAAGCGATGTTGAACATTTCTTCATATGTCTATAAGACATTTGTAAGTCCTGTTTGGAAAGGTTTCTACTTAGTTCCTCTGCCCATTTTTTAATTGGGTTCTTTATTTTCCTTTTGTGGAGTTGTATGAGCACTCTCTATATATATATTGGAAATTAACCCCTTATCTGATATATCATTGGCAATTATGCTCTCCCATACAGTGGATTGCCTTTCCATTTTGATGATTGTATCTTTTGCTGTGCAGAAGCTTTGAGCTTGATGTAGTCCCATGTGTTCATTTTCTCCTTTGTTTCTGTTGCCTTACGTGATGTATCAGTGAAAATTCTGCTGTGTATCATGTCTGAAATTTTGCGCCTACATTTTCTTCTAGGATTTTTATGGATTCATGAGTCACATTTAAGTCTTTTATCCATTTTGAGTTTATTCTTGTGTATGGTGTAAGTTGATGGTCTAGTTTCTTTTTTTTTTTTTTGCATGTAGCTGTCCAATTTTCCCTACACCATTTATTAAAGAGGCTGTCTTAACTCCACTATATGCTCTTGCCTCCTTTGTCAATTATTAATTGACCATAATGTCTTAGGTCCTTTTCTTGGTTCTCTGTTCTGTTCCACTGGTCTATATGCCCATTCTTGTGCCAGTACCAGGCTGTTTTGATTACAGTGGCTTTGTAGTATAACCTGATATATGGTATTGTGATCCCACCTACTTTGTTCTTCTTTTTCAAGATTGTTGTGGCTACTTGGGGTCTTTTTTGGTTCCATATAAACTTTTGAAGAATTTGTTCTAGTTCTGTGAAATATGTCGCTGATATTTTGATGGGGATTGCATGGAATCTATAGATTATTTTGGGTAATATGGACATTTTAATGATGTTAATTTTGCCAATTCATGAACAAGGTATGTGCTTCCACTTTTTTATTCTTCCTCTGTTTCTTTTTTCAATATCCTGTAGTTTTCTGCAAATAGTCCTTTACCTTTTTGGTTAAGTTTATTTCTAGGTATCTTAATTTTTATTGCCATGATGGTAAATGGGATTATTTTACTTTCTCTTTCTGTGAGTTCCTCATTGGTGTATAAGAATACCGTCAATTTCTTGACATTAATTTTGTATCCTGCTACATTGCCAAATTCATTTATTAAGTCTAGTAGATTTTTGATGGAGATTTTGGGGTGTTCTATGTATAATATCATGTCATCTGCGAATACTGACAGTGTCAGTGTCACTCCCTTCTTTCCAATTTGGATCCTTTTTATTTTTTCTTCCTGTCTGATTGCTATAAGTAAGACTTCCAGTACTATGTTAAATAAGAGTGGCAAAATAGGGTATCCTTGTCTTGTTCCTGTTCTTAAGGCAAATGCTTTTAGTTTTTGCCCATTGAGTATGATGTTGGCTGTAGGTCTTTCATATATGGCCTTTATTATGCTGAGATGTGATCCTCTATTCCCACATTGCTGAGCATTTTTATTAGAAATGGATGCTGGATTTTGTCAAATGTTTTTTCAGCATCTATTGATATGATCATGTGGTTTTTATTCTTCATTTTATTTATGTGGTGTATCACATTTATTCATTAGTGAATATTGTACCAACCTTGCATCCCTGGGATGAATCCCACTTGATCATGGTGAATAATTTTTTTAGAAGTATTGCTAGATCCGATTTGCTAGTATTTTTCTGATTTTTTTTTTTTTTTTTTTTATCCTCAACCTAGGACATTTTTCCATTTTTTGTTCAGATGGAGTGGGAGGGAGAGAGAGAGAGAGAGAAACATCAATGTGAAAGGGACACATTGAGTGGTTGCCACCCGCACAACCCAACCAGGGCCAGGGACAAACTGCAACTGAGGTATGTGCCCTTAGTGGGAACCAAACCCCAGTCTCTCTGGACCGCAGGCCGACACTCTAACAGCTGAACCAAACCAGCCAAGGCTTGTTCAGGATTTTGGCTTCTATGTTCATCAGGGATATTGGCCTGTAGTTTTCTTTCTTTGTAGTGTCTTTTCCTGATTTTGGAATTAGAATTATGCTGGCTTCATAAAACAAGTTTGGAAGTTTTCCTACTTCTTGAATTTTTTGAAATAGTTTGAGGAGAATGGGTGTTAGTTCTTCTTTGAATATTCGGTAAAACTCCCCCGTGAAGCCATCCGGGCCTGGGCTTTTGTTTGCTGGGAGAGTCTTGATTATATCTTCAATTTTCTTAGTTGTTATTGGTCTGTTCAAGTTTTCTATCTCTTCCCGTTCAGTTTTGGGAGACTATGTGTTTCTAGAAATTTGTCCATTTCACTTAGATTGTCTAATTTGTTGCCATATAATTGTTCATAGTAATGTTAATGATCTTTTGTATTTCTGTGGTGTCAGTTGTTACTTCTCTTTCACTTCTGATTTTGTGTATTTGAGTTCTCTCTCTTTGTTTTTTGGTGAGTCTAGCTAAGGGTTCATCAATCTTGTTTATCTTTTCAAAAAACCAGCTCTTTGTTTTATTGATCTATTGAATTGATTTTCTGGTCTCTATGTCATTTATTTCTGCTCTGATCTTTACTATTTCCTTCCTTCTACTGGCTCTGGGTTTTTCTTTTTGTTTGCTTTCTAGTTCTTTAAGTTGTGAGGTTAGATGGTCTATTAGAAATTTTTCTTGTTTCTTGAGGTAGGCCTGTAGTGCTATGAACTTCCCACTCAGAACTGCTTTTGTTGCGTCCCATAGATTTTGTGTAGTTTTGTGTTCATTTTCATTGGTTTCCAGGAAGTTTTTAATTTCTTCCTTGATCTCCTCAGTAACCCAT